CAACCCCCTTAGCTACCACGAAGGTGGGCCACACAGGCTAGTCCTGGTTTACTTGTTGGGCCAAAGTTACTGTTAACTTATCATCCTTCACCGTTCAATTTGACCCTGGTTTGGATGAGAAAGGATCTGGTTGCCCCATCTCTGAGCACCATGGAAGGATTTCAGTCCCAAGACTTTCTAGAACCATTGCTGCGCAGGAGTGTGGCACAAGCGCAGAGGCGAAGAGTGGTCAGTAGGCTATCGAAGTGCTTCATCACATGTGCACTCACTCTGCCAATAGGAGCACCCACTGTGTGGCAGGCACTGCACTGAGCCTGAGGGCACAGCAGGGAGCAAACAGGATTCTCTGCTCTTGGAGAGAGTGTGTTTCACAGCAGGAAGACAGGAAACAAGTGCGGGGTGTCCTCTGGTAGCTATCCGCTAGGGAAAAACCAGGTGAAGTGAGAAGTGGGTGGAAAGTTCTGGGTGCCTGTGCTTTGGGCAGCAGTTGCAAGGTTGGGTAGGATGACCAGGAAAAGCCTGGAAAGGTGACATTTGAGGAATTCCCTGAAGGAGGTGAGGGATCCAGCTATGCAGGTATCTGGGACAATAGCATTCCAGGCAGAGGCCCTGGGGTGTGAATGTGAGGGAAGTGTTCTTGGATTAGCAAGGAGATTAAGTGTCAGTAATGAAGAGGGCACAACCGAGAGGAGTGAGAGATGATGAAATCAGAGGGGCCTCTGATGATGAAGTCAGAGGGGCCAAAGAGGCGCTGTGGGGTGGAGAGGCTTGGAGGCCAAAGAGACCCATTGAGGACTTTGGAGCAGAGGACTAACATGATCTGGTGTAGATTTCAGTAGGCTCTCATAGTGCTGTGTAGGCAGTGGAGGCCACTGTAGTAAGCCAGGTAAGAGAAAGGTGGTTTAGCCTGGAAAGATGGAGTGGAGGAGAGGACACGGTGAGATTCTACTTATAATTTGAGGAAGACCTGCAGGGTCAAGGCAGCAGGGTTTGCAGAAGACTGGTGATGGGTGTGAGAGAAGCATCAAGGAGAATCCCAAGGTATTTAGCTGCCAGAAAGGGTGTTGCTGAGATGGACCAGTCTCTAAGCAGAATGAGTTAGGAAATAGGCTCTCAGCCTTGGCACCTCAGCTGTGAGCTGCCATTCTGTGTCCCCAAGCCGCTGTCAGGGGTGTGGTGAGTTGTGATGTCTGGCTGGAGACCCAGCTCTTAGGAGGGTCTTTGGTGGGTCTTTGGCGTCTCCATGGGCTTTGGCTTATGAGATGGGAGGAGAGCACAGAGGGGTGACCGGGCTCTGGCAAAGGGGCCCAGACTCAGAATGGGGCAGGTAGGAGGGGCGAGGTCTGGGGGTCGGGAGAGTCCTGGTTAGGGAAGCAGAGCTGGGCGCCTCCAGCCTGCAAGTGGTTGTCCTCTGCCAGGAGTGCAGAGGACGCCTGCACGGGCCAAAGAGAAGGGAGGGGAACTAGGGCACATGGCCTCCGCCCCTGTCCCAGTCATGCCGTCTATTCCAGTTCCTGTATGCCCTACGCTAACCCTGCACTTTGCAGTGGGCCTGGCTCTGTAGGTGTGGCTTGGCTTGCTTTCCAAGGTCAGAGGACTCTCACCCCTCTTCGCAGTACTCTTCTTCCCTGCTGTTCTGTGAGAGGATGTGGCTGCTGATAGGAGCAGGACCCCAGTCCGGGGTCTCCTGTCTGCTTGCTCAAGGTTCCACTCTGAACAGCACTGGCCAGGACACCTCTGTTTGCAGGCAGTGCTAAAAAAACACAATTCACTTGAGTGGAAGCCACAGAGAAGATGTCTTGGATTCCATAACGGCCCTACATGAGGAGAGATGGCCATGGGCACTTCTAGGACCAGCGTTATAACAGCACCTCATCATTGTCTGTGGATCTCTCTTCTCTGGCTTTCTATCTCTGCAGGTCTTCAAGGGGGCAGGAGGATGGGCTGCAGTAACTCTGTGAGGTGCACAGCTCAGGATGGAGAGAAAACCTGGAAAATTCATCTCCAAGTGGGAGGAGGAAGTGGTCCATGTGCAGTTCCCTAAAGAAGAGAGCAGTGTCCTTATCAGAAGAAGGGAGGGAGGCTGGGCAGATGGTAGCAACAGCTCCCTCTTGGTCAGCATTTGATTCCAGCAGTTCTTTTCCTGTGTTAACAATCAGGCATTGCTGCTGACGAAGAAAAACACTTCATGACAAGAAAAGTAGGAGATAACATATTGAGGATATACTCCCAAGTGAAATAAATAAGTCATTCGTGTAAATACTGAATAGTTTCTCTGGTGTGAAAAACTATAATAGTACATAAGATCCTAATGAGATAATTGACAATGTGAAATAGGAAGAAAAGGGCTAAAGGTGTAGGGAAAGTGAGAGGGGTAGGGGAAAGGTAATAAGGGAAAAGAAAAAATGTGAGAAAATGAAAAAAATGGAAACAAAGTGTTTGTAAATGGGGAGGAGAGGAGGGGGCAGAGGGAGGTCAGGGACAAGGGGAAAAAATGAGAACCAAGACCTGTCATGTAGAGGTACAAGATCCCAACAATGAATGTAACTGTACTGTATACCTAGAATGTACCAATAAACTCAATGAGGAAAAAAAAAAAAGAAAAGTAGGAGATAAGCCAGCAGTAAAGGTGTGAGCCTTGCGCAGCACATACACTAAAGGTGTGAACCTTTAAAAAGGAAATCCCTCCCCTTTCCCTCCTCCCTCTTAGTTAGAAACTGTGGTTAGTGTTTGTCCTAGAATCCAGGCATATCATAGGAATGTCTTCCCATTCAATGAGGGTTTTTACTTATATTTTCAACCACACAGATGCCCACTGGGCTGTCTTCATCAGAGACTGCAATTTATTTATTTTTTTCCATTTTTTCCTTTTGTTTTTCCTTGTCCCTTCGTTCCTTACCGCTCCCCCTCCCTTGTTCCTCTTCTCATCTGAACTTTTTATTCTCATTTCCCAGTCTCTATTATACATTTTGGTCCTTATTTCCACTTTCAGTTTCTCACATCAGAGAAATAATACGTTATTTAAACACGTGTCCAATTTATTTCACTTATGAGTATGGTTTCAAGGTGCATCCATTTAGCTAAAAATACCTCAAGTTTATCTTTCTTTACAGCAGAGTAGTACTTCACTGTAAGAAAAAAGCCACATCTTCTTTATTTGTCAGTTCATAGGCATGTGAGCTGTTTCCAAATTTAGCTATTACAAACTGCATCTCTAAATGTGGGTGTGCATACATTCCTGTGGTATGGTGCTTTTAATTCTGGGAAGATAACTAGAAGGGGAATAGCTGGGTCAAATGGGACCTCTACTCCTAGTTCTTTGAGGAATCTCCGCACTGATTTCCACAGTGGTTGCACCAGTCTGCACTTCCACCAACAGAAAAGGGCTCCTTTCTCCCCATAGCCCCACCAGCATTTGTTACTGGCTGATTTCTTTTTTCTTTTTTGTACCAGGGATCAAACTTGGGACCTTGCGTGTGCAAGGACCTTGGGCTTGCAAGGCAGGTGGTGGCATCACTGAGCTAAATCCCCAGCCCTTGGCTGATTTCTTGGTGAAAGCTATTCTTTCTGGCATGAGATGGGATCTCAGCATTGTTTCAGTTTGCTTCTCTTGAATGACCAGTAATGTTGAACATTTTTTGTCTGTTTTTTTTGGCATTGGGGATCGGACTCAGGACCTTGTGCTTGCCAGGCAGGTGCAGTGCCTCAGCTAACATCCCCTGCCCCATTTTTTCATATATTTATTTGCCATTTCTACTTCTTCATCTGAGAAGTGTCTTTCAGACACCCATTTTTGGATTGGGTATTAAATTTGGGAAGGGTCTGATTTTTTGGAGTTCTTTATACCAAGACTACAATTAGATCACTAGCATAGAGCCTCACTTTTCTTTGTTACTAGGTAGGTTATTTCATATATTTCCTGGAGATTCCAGGCATTGCTTTCCTTCAAGTATATGAGTGTGGGTTGAACTACTGTTATGGTTTATAAAGATATGAAACTTATTTACCTGCACAGTAAATGTTCCTGAGTGTCTTTACCTCCTTTGCTTGATTTCTTCAGTGATTTGGCAAATTGTGGAGGAACCCAACTCCCTGGGGCCATTTTCAGTTCTTTCTTGCCTAGTTTGCTTCTGTGGTCCTTTAGGAAAGGTGAGCGCAGCCCAAGTACTCAGCAGTCAGTGACCTTGGACGAAGCTGAGGCTGGATTTTCTCATCTGTCCAGTAGGTTGCTGAGGCTGGCTCGACTCTGTGGGAATGCTTGGGAACTTCTGGGCACTGTGGAAGTGGAAGATGTCATCGATGTGTGCTGGTGTGCTTTCATAGAAGGCTGGTCATAGCTTCAGTGAGCTGGAGTCGCTGATCTGCCTTCTTGTCATACCATGGTTACTGGAAGAACCTTTTCTAAATTGTCAGAGCCCTCACAGAAATGGAGGTAGCATTATTGCTATACACAATAATGGCATTTTCCTATTCTGCTCTTCATAAAGTCGTAGTCAGCTCTGCTCCATTAAAAGTCTTAGGTTCACTCAAAAGTACCCTATTTTCTAAATTTCAAGTGCAAGCGTGAAATTGAATGTTTGGAAAATGTGCTATAAGATAAATGTTTCACTTTAGAATTAATTTTCTGTTAAGAATCTTCCAGGCTGGTTGTGGTGGTGCATGCCTATAATCCCAGCACTCGGGAGGCTGAGGCAGGAGGATCACTGTGAGTTCAAGACTAGCCTGGGCTACATAGTGAGTTCCAGGTCAGTCTCAACTACATAGTGAGACCCTGTCTCAAAACAAACAAACAAACAAACAAAACAAAATAAAATTAACCAGAAATCTAGTCCACCTAATTCTCAGTCAATATTTCCATTTTTATATTGAATGTAAAAGTAAACAAATAGTTTCATAAAAGTTCATTCATCTAAAAAGTGTATATATTCCGATTCAGTTCTTATTTTTCTCAACAGGAGTGTATATTTTTAAAAATCTGTTAATCATACTTTTTCTTTTAGTCCTACAGGGTCACATGTTGAATGGTGTAAACAGCTTATAGCTGCTACAATTTCTAGTCAGATTTCAGGTTCAGTGACATCAGAGAATGTTTCCAGAGATTACAAGGTAAGCATCATAGTGTTTAATTCATTTTCATTATATTAAGCAGCCAAGAAGCTTTGCAGTTTTAATTCAAGTGAGCCTCCGGCCCATCAATACTTGACTGCTATTTGCTTGGGAAAGAAGACATTGTTTGATCTCAAATTTAGAAGAGAAATTTTATTGGTATGCAGTATATATGGCCATAGTTTTGTAATTAAAAGGGCAAAAAAAAACCTGTCTTTAGATTATGATCATTCTTTTAAAATTCAAATTTCATTTTATTATAAGAAATGCATAGCTCAGTCAGGTGTCACATGCCTATAATTCCAGCTCAGGTGGTTGAGGCAGGAGGATCTCGAGTTTGAAGCCAGCCTGGGCTATATAATGTGACTCTGTCTCAAAAAAAAAAAAAAAAAAAGAAGAAGAAGAAGAAGAAGGAGGAGGAGGAGGAGGAGGAGGAGCATATATTTTCTTTTGAAATATTCTGCATTTCAGAAAAAACATTCTTGATGTATAGTATCTCTAACTTCACATTATGTTTTTGTGTTTAGGCATTACCTGTGAGTATTCAACATTATCATGTGATACTAGGATGTAGAAACACTTGTAGAATTTTAAGAATATCGTATAGGCAGCCTCCTTTTTTAGTCTTTACTAAAGTGAAAAAATCTCTTGTTTGTTTTTAAAATTGTATTCTTGCTTCTTTTAAAATTAAGAGTGATACGCTCCTTGTTGGCAGAGATTCATGCTATTTCACTCACCACTGGTTTCCCAGCACAGTCCTAGAATATCATAGATGCTCAACAGTTGCTTATTGAATCAGTTAATAAGCAAGCAAAAAATCCCTTGCTCCATCTTTGTTCAGGCTAAAGACTGACTCTCTTTTATTGTTCAAAGACTGTTACAGGTGCATTAAGCGAAGCCATGTTTACATTTCAGTTATGGTGTTTGCTTGAATGGAGGTTCCAGTTTCTTGTAGGTATTTCTGTCTGCTAGGATGACAAGACAACTAGTTTTTAACAAGCATGGGTGGAATATTTTTGGTATCCTGGACTACCATCAGTTAACAGTCTCTCAGAATCATGGTCTTTGGCAGACATTAAATCTCACAAATAGCAGGGGCCGGGGATTTAGCTCAGTGGTGCCGCTGCCTGCCTCACAAGCTCAAGGACCCAAGTTTGATTCCTGGTACCAAAAAAAACCAAAACTATGAGGCGGGAGGAGACCAGTTTGAGATCAGCCTGGGCTACAATAGTGAGTTCCAGGTCAGTCTCAACTACATAGTGAGACCCTGTCTTAAAAAAACAAAACAAAACAAAAAATCTCACAAATAGCTCAAGAACTGCAATGAATTCCTAATTAATTCTTAAGAGCTGCTCCTTGTGGAGGGGTTTTAGTCTCAGTTTCTCCACAGGAGCAAGCACAGAAACTGACTCCAGAGGCTGTGCCTTTGAGATTTGGCTGTGGAGCTGTCCCTTGCTTCTCAAGCCAGCAGGTGCTGTTGCTCATGCCCGCGACAGGCTTGTAGCTGTGGATGAGTGGAAACTGGGTCACCTGCCCGCTAGAAGAGTGTCCTCTCTTATCTGGTTCTCATGTTTACCCTACATGGGCAAACATACTGCCTTCCCACTGGGAGAGTAATTCACCGCATTATGGATGCCTGGGAGGCTGGCCACTTGGCCCATTTGCCCCATTGCTTCCACTTACCTGAGAAACTGCCCTTCGAAGGGGAGGCTGAGGGACACAGATGAATACAAGATAGCTCCGAGCCCTTGGGGTGATTTTCCTCATGGACGTCTGTGAGGAAACTAATGATTGTATTATGGTTGGATAGCTGTGAGTGTTGTGTGGCTTCTGTGGGAGACTGAATGGTGACTGCATACCTAGCTTTCTAACCTTTACATTAACAGAGCAGACCAAATCTGTACTTTAACATGAGGCAACCAAGTTCTATCAATTTTAGTCCATTTACAAATTTTGTGTAGTAGAAAATTAGCTCATGCAAAAATGGTTTAACAGATGGTATTCAGAAAAAATAAGGCTTTTCTTTATTTTGGAAGTTAAAATTTAAGTCCTTATATGTGATAATAGCTAAAGCCTTGGAATTATCATAGGAGGACATGTTTTATAACTGTCTGTGTTTTATTTTCTCTGTAGCCAAATTTGCAAAGTTCGCATTTAATTTATAATTTGGGAGCTATTATGTATTCTTCAAAGAGAGATTTTTTTAAGCATGCCAAATATAGTGGTATAAGTCTGTAATCCCATTTACTCCAGAGGCTGAAACAGGAGGATTATAAGTTTTAAGTCAGTCTGAGCAACTGAGTGAGACCGTGTCTCAAAATAAAATTTTAAAAAGGGCTCAGTATGTGTCTCAGTGCTAGAGCATTACCAGCATGCATGAGGCCCAGAGTCCAAAAATAGATAAATAGATAGCAAAAAATATTTCTAAAACACAGCATAGTTGTACATGCTCCTTATAAATAAAAAAGGTTTTTTGTTGTTTTGTTTTGTTTTGTTTGCAGTACTGGGAATTGAACTCAGTACCTTGCACTTGCAAGACAGGCATGGCACCACTGAGCTAAATCCCCAGCCCTAAATAAAGTAATTCTTAAAGCTGAGCTCCAAGACCCCTTCTAGCATGTGAGCCATTCATTGCATGAGTTTGGCCCAAAGGTTCAGATACAATCCTTTGAGGATCTAAGTTGCAGATATTACTTGTTAATATTTGAAACTATATATTATGTAAATATATCTTATTTGAAATATACATTTAGTTGGGGGTTAAATTATTATAAGTTAAAGTCAGAAATTAAAAGGAAAGCTGTTTATATGGAATAGATTACTTGCATCTTGAAATTCTTGTCTTCTGCATTGTTGGCTGCTGAGAATGGTTATATATCATCATCATTAATTCTCTAGCACAAATGAAGCTCACTGGTTATATAACACTTTTTGATATGTCATCCATTTAAGCCTTAAAAATCACTCAATGAAGTAGTTATTACTGTAATCATCATCAGATGAGAAATGGAGGCCCTTAAGAATTAATTGATTAGGATTAGACAGTTAAACTTGAGATTTGAATCCAGCTCATGCTATTGAAAAGCTAGTGATTTTAAATTTATGCCTCCTGTCTGTTTTTAAAAATGTGTCTTCTTGCACCAGTGCTTCCTATACTGCCTCTGAAAATACAGTTTCTTGACCCTTATCCCATCTTAGCCAATCATAATATCTGAGGAAAGGAAATAATTGTCTTAATAGATTTCTTGTGCAAAACCTGAAAACTTAGGCTTCCTAAGTTTATGTCTGTTTAAATTGGTGATGGGACCAAATATGTCTGGTTCATTTCTACAAACCCAAATAATAAGCAACTCATGTTGGGTATTGAGAAAAGTTATTTGCCAGGCGTGGTGGCTCATGCCTGTAATCCCAGCACTTGGGAGGCTGAGGTAGGAGGATCGCTGTGAGTTCTAGACCAGCCTGGGCTACATAGTGAGTTCCAGGTCATTCTCAACTACATAGTGAGACCCTGTCTCAAAAAACCAAAAAAAAAAAAAAAGGGAGAGAAAATTATTTATTCTTTGTTTGTATTACAAGTTGTCACTCGAGGTCACGTTACTTAAAATGTAATAATATCACTCGTATGAGATAAGTTTGGATGGTATAAACATGGACATACTTTAATAGGTTCTTTTTTTTTTCTTTTTGAGACAGGCTCTCACTCTGTAATTCAGGCTGGCCTTGAACTCATTGTATAGCCCAGGCCTGTTCTTAAACTTGTGGAAATCTTCCTGCCTCAGCCTCCTAAGTGCTAGGATGACAGGTGTGTGCCACCATATTTGGCAATAGTTACCTAATTATTGTGAATTAGAAAACTAGCGCGTCAAACTTGTAATTTAATGGATGTTATTGCTTAGAGCAGACAAAGTATACAAAAGAAGTGAATTTTAAAAAGACAAATATTAATGTTAGTACAAGAAATATGCAGATATAGCAAGTCAAACTTGTAGAGGTAGTATTGTGAAATGACAGAAGTTTGGCAAATGTTGTTCTACCGGACAAAGTGGAGAGTTGTTATGTTGAATTGTGGGTCAAGTCATCCTAATGAATTGCCAAATAATTAAACTACTAAGAGAAATGTAATAAAATGTTTGTTTTCCTTACCTTCCAAGCTGCTATCTCAGTTGCTTTCATTTTTTTAAATTAGGCTAACAAAGAGAAAAAAAAAGTCTTCAAACTTGTCAAAAAAATTAAGAACAAGATGTGAAAGTAATCCTTCATGGATTAGGTGAAAAAAATACCATTAAAGTGGATGCTTAAGTTATGACCAGCCTGACATTACAAATGATTTATGTTATGACTGGAATTTTAGTTTTAACTTACGACCAAAGTCAAGTTATGACCCAAATGCTTGCCACTTGTGTTTCCAGAGGGTCTCAGATACAGATTTAATCCTTAAAGGGTCCTGGAAAAGGAAGATTACAACACCCTTTCCTGTGTGGGACAGAGATCTGCCTGTATACAGGAGAGACTTGGAAGGCTGTGCAGAGGAGCCCAAGCATTCAGTTGACCAACTTTTTTTTTAAAAGAACAAATGGTTGATTTAATTTTTTTTTTTTTTTTT